ATCTTACAACAATCACCGATTGAGCTGATTCTGACGTTAAGTTTGGGTTTTAGGGAGGAACGAATGTGCACTGCTGTGAAGGAAAAGAAGTTGTGCAATACGAAACGCAGCTAGTTTTTAATAGCTTTACCTCATGTCTTCTTTTGTATAATCCTTAGAAGCCAAAATCGAAATAAAAAAAATAAAATTAGCTTAATAAAACAGGCACAGGCCTAACGTGTAAGCAGATGTTTGAATGTTCAGTTCTCTCTTCTATCATAATTAAGCAGGGCTTTCATGTTGCGCGTGCAAAATGGGAGGAGGACGATTTAATGTTAATAAAATTCACAATTCATTTCAGTTCATGTCTCAGAATGTGTATTTTTTGTTTGTAATTTCACAGTTGTAATAACATAACGTGAAAGTGCCGCTTTTCTATCGCGAATGTGCCGAATCTGCTGATGTAATTACAACCGCTAATGATAGACAAGGGGAGGGGGAGGCCGGGGGAGAGATGAGCTCTCGTGCCTCGGTTGGTAAAAAAATTAGCCAATCACCATCGAGTGTTCACTTTCAGTCTGCCGCTGCGCTGATAATGTACCAAGTACTTATGATGAGTAGCAATATTGAATATTTGATCGCCAACAGATTTACCAAGCTGTCATTCAAACAATATATATACAAATTAAAAAATTAAAAAAAGGGAAAACAGCCTAAGCTGGATATAGGCTACAGCAGTCGGCTTAATTAAATGGCGCAACAGGCAGCTCTCTTTTAACACAGACTTTTAAGAAGGGATGGATGTTTGCTTCAAGTGATAGGCCAGGTAAGTGAAATTATATTATCTTGCTGTATGTGTGTCATTTTCTTTAAGTTTTCTGACTAAAAGCAACTAAAAACCATTTTAAAGTGGTTAAGCAAATAATAATAATAATAATAATAATCGACAGGGATCCCAGACCAATACAATTAGTGTGCCTCCTCTATTTTAATACCCACGAGCCGCCACTGATCCCTAGTAGCACATCAGGAAGAGGATTGAAGAACCATGTGCAAGTAGAGTGCTCTTGGTGGTTACTAGTGTTTTATTGTGGTTGCTACATCAATACAGCAAGGTTCCAAAGAGTGTTCCATATGGCTGCACAATATTGGAAAAAACAATATTTCACCAGATGACATGAATAGCTTGAATGACCTGAATATTTGGAAATAATAAATAATTCTAGAATGATTTGTGTGATATTGTAGGGGAATGCATTTGTATAAGAAAAAATAAGAAAATTTAAAAGAGCTGAAATTATTTTTATTTTTTTACAAAAATAGTGTAAACCATCCTTTTAAGGCTGAATGATTTGGTGGAAAAAGTTTTTGACCTATTTAGCGTCACTATAAAATAAATATGATTTTATAGTGATTATTATTAAATAAAAGTATCAAAAAGAACTATCCTGTAATAATAAAATATTTAATAAAAAACAATTTCATTTCATAGAACAAATCTAAACTATTATTTATCTAAACTAAACTATTAGTTTAGTAACCATGTTAACTATTTTTTTTTTTAAGTTAAAAAGGATATTTTTTTCCCCAGAGTGAAAAACAGTCTGTTCATTCACACACAACACCAAGCTTCAATCTGAAAACTGAGGTGCATTTATTCATTTGATTAAAGGTCCCATATTTTACACCTTTCTGGAGTTTTATTTTAGGTTTTGATGTCCTTAAGAATATATATTTGCGGTATAAGTACCAAAAACCATCTACCGGTAAATATATTTTTACAGCTCCTTTCTCAGAAGCTCTGCTGAGAACAGGTCGATTTTGGCCTGTCTAATTAATATTCATGAGCCTCTCTTCTGATTGGCCTGTTGTGTTCTGAGTGACGCACGGCCAGGCCAACCACAGGTAACTAGGGTCAGTCGACGTCACAGCGCTAGCTGGAGGCAGCAAAACAAAGGGGAAACTGGAGGCGGCCCATTCAAACCAGTGCAGATTCGGCTACATAAGGAGCTTAAAATATCATCTTTTTGTGATTCTGGGTGCCAGAATCGACGTAATACAGCCTCAAATTAGAAATTTGATCGCATAACTGCTGCCACTGCCAGACAAAAAAAACGCGATAAAACGAGCAGACTGGACAGAATGGATCGTCAAAAATGCTCGCGTTTGCAGCGCACACTTCTTATCAGAAAAGGTTAAATAAAGTATTGTCTTTTGTTGTTATGGGCGCGTCTACAGATTTCTTGCCATATGTCTATGTTTCTTGCACCTCACGATTATGTCGTGTATGAAATAATGTCTGTGTGCATGTGTATAAAACAACAAACTGACGATTTATATATAATCATTTGTAATTGTATATACATT